ACGCGTATTTTTATACGTGGTTACTCGATATTGTTAAAATTACATACCTAGTGTACAAATATTTCCACGTATGGTTAGAGCCAAGGATTGTTAAAATCGAAGTGACGTAGCGCTCGGGGAGAGTTAAATCTTATTTTTGCTAACATAAATTCGCCTCGAACAGCCTTCTTAAATAATGAACTCCGCGAAGAAAGGAGCCCTGCCGATAACAACAGCAAGCGTAGCGAAAACATCGTTTTTCCTAGCACGAACGCTGGGAATCGTTGAAAGAACGGAAAGAAAAGCAGCGAGACCTGTTTTGACCCGTTCCGAGCAACGGGCCAGGACAAAAGGGGCAAAACGTTCTCCGTTGAAAGGAAGCAGCGAATTCCGCCTTCCACGGTGCACGGTAAACTGTACCTGGACAAGGGGTACGGGAGAGAGAGGTCGAAGTGGGATTAAACTACGAAGAAAAGTGGCTTCTAAGGCCGTGGAGAGGCCGAAAGCTGAAACACCTCTGCAGCCCTCCCGACCAGCGCCGCCAAACCCCATTTTATCTATGTCGTTCTAGCCCGAGGGCCATGGTGCCTGGGATACAAGGTGTGTGCTCGCGTATGGAGCACACGAACCTACTCGCGATTGCACAGACTGAACAGGATGAAAGGAAACACGTGTATCTGTTTGCTGCTTCCGAAGGTCGTAACTTTTTTCCTCGAACTCGCGGCATTCAGAGAACAGAAGATCATTTAAAGGTTTAAACGGTGAATGTATCTTCTTTAGGCAGCATGTTTACATACGCCCTTCTTGCAATCGAATCGAAACCCCAGACTTCGTGTGGAGAACTCGGGGCCAGACGGTGCTCTTCGATCTGGTCTAATTCAAAGTACCTGCTCGAATGGGATTTCAAGCTTAAAATTACATACTTAGAACTTGAACTCACTGATAGGATTAAGCAAAGGAACGTAATTGACGTTTCTCTAACTGTGCTGTGCAATCCATTTGTCCTTTGCTGCAATATTTAGGCAACATTGTAAAATGGAGTTCGCTATTCAACATCTCCATCCTGAAACAAGCTCTTTGCTAAGCTTAAAGTATAGATAGTAGTTCTAAATAGAAACTTGGTTGAACGTAATTTTACCTCGATAAGATGTAGCAATTTCTGGGACAAGTAGTGTACAATCTTCTTATCAAAAGGCGTCGTTAACTTTCCCACTTTGTGGTCGAATGCTCAACTATCTATTGTTGCAATATTTGGGCAAGATGACAAGATGTCGTTCATCATCCAGTGCCTTCCTCCTTAAAATAGCATCCTCTGAATAAGATCTAGAGTACAGTCCTCTATACTGACAGTCCAAGCGTTGACTGACATCTATAAATACTAACATTGTATCATATCTAAATTGGCTTGAGTAATCGGTCCAAACTTGCAACACTTTTCGCGAAGGAGTCTCGAAAAGCTGTACGCTTCGACAGTCGATTTATAACTCGAACGAACCAAAATCGTTTTTGAATCGGTGCTCGAAAGGTAAATGTACACACAAGTAACGTTCGATCCAGCCGTAAGCTTTTCTAGTGTCAATCCTTTTAGAGAGTGCAGTCACCTGCTTCGTTAAATAGAATTACGTTCTTGCGAAATATTGAATGTCACTCTATAATCGTATCCAATTTCAGTCATCCACTTTGGAGAGCTGTTCAAAATGCTGACCCTTGACATTAATACAGCATCGAAGCCCTATTAGTACTGTATTCATTGAACTGTACAACGTGAGATAGTGTATTTTTTGTTTGTTTGCTCGCCGGAGTAAACGGAAAAGTGATATTCGTCAACCGAAATCGATAACACAAAAAGACAGGAAACAACGTATGTTCGCAACGTATGATTCAATTACACGTGACAGGCTGCAGTACGTGAAATTGATTTCGAGGTATCAATATTGTATTAATGTCAGAGGTCAGCGTTTTCGACGGTGCTTGAGCAGGACAATCGAAGCAATAGGTTGTTGCGGGTCATTGTATTCGCCGTGCAACAAAATCGCTGTTCCTGAAACGCGTTCTTCGAGCTAAGGCCAGAGTTATAAAATAATATTAGAGAAATTAAATGTTGGACCTCTAAAAATTATAGTCTCTCTGGTGTCTCATTCTATATAAATTGTTAACTAAAGATAAATTCATTTAAATGTTAATGGCTTTCAGAGATTGGACGGTACCAGGGTATTCTTTCAGGGTTCCTTTTGGTCCCTAGCTATGGATTAAGATCTTTCAAATATTTCATCGTACATACTGGACGAGGTTCTTCGTTTCTTAACCACAGGTTCAGACTATTCAAATGTCTCATTATATATGCAGTACGAGGTATTTTCTTCACTTCCTGCCTAGGTATTCAAGTCTTTAAGATGGCTCACGGTAGGAGATATTCTGTTCAGTTTCAAACTAAGCGTGGTGACGTTTCAGACACCTAACCCTTAATGCAGGAACTAACTAGGGGTTCGGGCCTTTTAGACGTCTCACCCTCTATACAGGACGAGGTATACATAAGGATGTGGCGCATGTATGTACACGTGTGTACATGTCAATAGTCGTATTGAACCCTTATTGAACCTGTTCTACCACATAGGTCACGTGGCCAAGAACGTGAGCATCGAGACGATATTATAGCGCAAGATTTTCATTTCCGTTGCGAGAGACCTTTTCACGTCGTTAAAAGACTCGGAAAAATGACCCTTTATCACGAACCCCTGTTACGAGGGAAATAGAGTTTATCAGTCGCTGTCGTTTCTTAGCGGACCAGTGAATTATCGCTCGAAGTCGGAGTACTTTAACCTGCATCGAGGCTTTCGATTGCTGTGAAACATAGCACACGGAAAACTTAGCTCTAAAAGTCTTTCAATGCCTTCATTTTTCTGTATTAATTTCATTTCACGGATCTGTCGAATCGCAAATCTTTTGTAATTGAATTTTGTCTATAAAATCCACCAGTTTAACGATAGAAATTAAACGAAATTCAATTTATGGACTCGATCAGTATCGAGCACCTGTATTATCGATCTGTTTCGTTTAACAAGCACAGATGGCGAAAGCTTTTAGCACAAACGTACGACAGGAAGCAGTAATTTTTATCGAAACAGAGTCTTCCGCTTCGCGGAATAAAAATTCGCTTTGTCGGTAGCGCGCGAAGAAACACGATCCTAATATACGCGAAAACGTACAAAGGAAGACGGATTCTTATTCCTCGCATCTTTGAGCATCCCCTTGCACGTTCCACCCCCCTTTTACCGTTTTCATCTTTTAACACTCGAACAACGACGCGCATCGCCGCGTCTCGCGATTCAATCGTAGCATTTTATCGGGAGACACTTTATTGATAGAATAAAGCACGGAAAACGCACACGCGGAATGAAACGTCGAGGCGAAAATATCGCGGTAGATCGAATTGATGCGAAATCCATGTTTGTCAATAAGTCGCAGCGTGTGACGAATGGCCGTAAAAAACAGAGCGTTCCTTCCGTTAAATAAATCCACTCTTGATCGTACAAATTCTCTGCACAAAGGAAATAGAATATGAATGAAAAATGGGAAAAGTTTTAAAGATTTAAATAAAGATAAAATAATAGAATTAACAAAATTCAAGTATCGGTATCGATAATACCTGATAGCCTACACTGTTGTCGATAATTTAATATTATTCCTAAGATCGTAGTTTGAGGTACACAAAAGATATTTGTACTAGCTTTTGCAGATTTCCGACTACTCTGCAGCAAGGTCCCGGTTAATAGAGAGGATCAAATATACATTTAAGTGTCTTCCTTGCCTCGCTCGACGTACGAAAGCACGGAGGTTGCAACGAGCCTTATTCTCGGTTCCTAATTCCTATAAACCAGTGCAGAATAATTTCACTATCTCTGAAGCTTGGTCCCGCGATTCAGACTCTGTGACTTCGTCGAATGCTTCGCGGTTCTTAACGGGGACACTTCTCTAAAACGTCTGAAAAATAATGTTCCAAAACGACTCCATTTGAACCCACGAAAATTATTTCTTTCTGTGAAGTTTCAGTATTTAACAAATATCAATACTAAGTGACCCTGTAAAAATTTATTTCCATGGATTCCACGATCCGGGGGTTAAAATTATTTGTAAGACTCGAAATTATAAGGAAATGCATCGGGCCACCAGGTTGTCTGGATCCCAAGATAGCTTGACAGGAAGTCTTGGATCTCTATTTGTACAATTAAGTAGTCACGAATCCTTGGTTGAATCTCTGAGTGGGTGGAGCTAGAATCGCTAATTGGACCATTAGAGCTCACGCGTCAGTAGGTGGATTATTAGCGAGGTATGTGTTCCTAATTTGACAACTAGAAATGCATAGGTTTCTGGTTAGACAACTAGGTTATCATGGGACTCCAGTCGAACCGGTAGGGTGTCTGCACACTGTCTGGGAATAGAATCTGTAGTTGAATCGCTTGGGGGTCACGCGTTACCGGACGGATTATTAGTAACGTATAGCATCATAATTGGACAAGTAGGGTGCATTGATCTCTAATTGGACACCTAAGTAATCGTGGGACACTGATCGAACTTTTGGAGTGTTGCGCGTCTCTACGTGAACTGCTAGGATGGCGTGCGTCCCTATTTGGACCACCGGAGCGTCCATGTCCTTAGATGGATCGTCGAAATGTCTTGGACCCCTATTTGGACAAGTAGGTGGTCACGGATTCTCGGGGTTAAAGTCCTTGGTAGAACCAGTAGGGAGTCTCGAACCCCTATTTGAACAACTAAGTACTCACGGATGCTTAGTTGTGCCTCTTGTTAGATCACTAGTGCGTCAAGGTTCCCTACTTGGGCCACCGAGGGGTCACGATTCACCGTGTACACGTAAACATAGATCGGTAAACTATAAAATTACCATATGCACCAAATCGGAATTAACAAGAGCCTCGCGTGCTACTTACAATCTTCTAAACGTAATTACGATTTCTAAAAATACGTCCCGGCTATTTCTTAACTCTGAATTTTGTCTGTTGCAGGTAAGAGATTCTTAGAGTTGATATTTTACCTGAAAGCTGTCAAAGCACAAAGTCTCTTCTACCAGTAAGTAAATTGAGTAGCAGTTATTATCCAGTACATATAGTATTATTTTTAAGGTAGCTTTAAGAATTTTTCGTCACTTTTTTGCAAATTATAAAGAGTTCCGGTTTAAACTCTTGCATCAGTGTCAGTTTTCCATACTTTCCAGGCTCTTAAAATTCAGATCTTTTATATTTTTTATATTTTTATCTTTGAATTAGACGGATCTTTTAATGATCAGCGTTACACCACGCACACGCTTTATCCGATAATGACTTTTTCGAGGGCTCGCAGTCGTTCGGCTCCAGATTCATCTCCGGCCATCCCCGGGGTGCCGTATAAATCGATGGAAGCTATTCGTCGATGTAACCAAAGTTTTAGTTAGTTCTCCGGTGCCCGTGATTCGATTCCGGTCGGTGGAAGCAGTGGTAATAATGTCGACGCCCGCCATCCCCCGTTAAACGCAGAAAACAGAAAATCAAACGAAACGTTCCCGACTTTAATGTGGGAATTCCACTTGTCCCACGCACAAAAACAAAAATTCCTCGATTCGACGGTGTTTAAACGCGGTTCTATTATTTTTTACCAAACGAGAAGCATCGCCAAATTTTTACTTCGAGTATTTTTCTTTACGCGGCTGCCTCGGTTCGATTACCAAAAACTTACGTTTTCATTCTGCTCCGGTGCTCGAGATAGCGTGTCTCTTAACTCTTCCCACCCAGTATGGTTCTTTTCTCGCGACGATCATCGCTATATCGACCGACCTGCATCGATTCTATGTCAAGACATCGAGATAAGTCACGAAAGCTTGCCGGTGAGATACAGACCCTTCAGCCTCAAGTTCTCGAACCCCAATCCTCACGTTCGAGCGAAATTGAGGCGTTCTAGGGTCGCCGGTGAAGCAACTATGCATTTTTAGGAACGATTATACTCGCTGTACCTTGATAGCGGTAATAGATATTCGTTGCGCGATAAATTGGAAACGATGCAAACGACTTTTTAGGTTCTCGGGATTTTCGGTGACCGCTGATTCGGAGCTGGTGACACGTCCATTGAAATCTAATATGCGAATGTATTCCGTTAATGGAGTTTCGATCGAGCGCATTTCGGGTCCATTCGACGAATAGAATGTAATCTCCGAGTGCGTTTAATGGCGTCTCGAAACGCAGTCGAAGTTGCAACCAAAAAATATTTCGAGCCGGAGAAGGCACTTCTCCTCGAGATCTCAAGACTCAGATTCGAAGTGATTCGATTCCTAAAGCGCTCTAAATCCCGCTGAACAAAAATATTTCGAGTCAGAGAAGACTCTTCTCATCGAGTACGCGCCGTTTTCGAGGGATGCTGGTTCTCCTCGGAGTAGCCAGTGTTTCCAGCAACTAAATTGCCACTTTTATTTTCGAACGGCGGTTCCCGCTTCCGCGAATCCGATCGGCGCGAGTATAATACGATCGGTAATCCGGGGGGGTCTGCACATAACGCGTCGTGCACAATCCGTGAAGTAGGAGGGGGGGCGTTAGCCGCGAGGCAATGGTGCATGCGGCGAGCCTGACACATATCAATCAGGCAATGGAATCCTCGGGCGCACTGACGATCCGACAATCCTCCGTTTCCATCGGTCTGCATCCCTCTCGGGCGTCCCTCCGCGTCCCTCGTATCGACTGTGACACGCGGCCGCGCGCATACCGTTATCGAGTACAGGCTGTCGTCGGCTTGGAATTTCAATGCTAATCAGCTGTGATGTCTGATTGAATGGCGGATACTATGGTCCTTGAACGGACTGCCGCGAGCGTCTGCGAAACCGTGACGTGACGACGTTACGAAACCAATGACGTCTCGCGCGAAAAAGTGCGCCGTGATCTTGGTACACGTCGAAACGCTCGCGTTCTTTTCCGATATATAGGGATAGAACTTTCGTTCGTCGTGTACCATCGTGTTTGTTATTCGCTTGTTCGAGCGATGTTCGAATTCGGTGGTGCTTTGCAAGTCTTTGTGGTCTTATCGAAGCTCTTGTTCGATTCGAACGGCGTGTAACTGGTCAACACTCGGTTGTTGATCGACACGTTCTAACGCGACGACGTGGTGCAAGACAGGGGGACAATATTGCCGCTGTGAGGGAAAGCGTAGCTGAAAATTTTGTACGGAAAGTCTGTGTATGGTATAACAAAGGAAATTATAAAATTATCGGGATAGAAGGATCAAGATTATTAACCCCGTTCGCCCCATGGCGACTCGTGCCGCAACAGGTGGTGAAAATGGCATTAATATTATAATTTATTTATTTATTCGTTTCAGATCAAAATACCATGGAGTTAATCCTGTAAAGTCCAGTGGTAATTTCGAAAATTTTATAACTGATATATTATTTACATTTTTACAAAATGCACCGTATAAAGAAACGAATGTAATTTCTCAAAAGTGGTTACATGTTTTGCAATGGAACTAAATTCTTTTTGAATGGGTAAATTGACTAAACTAGTAGAAGTTCTAGTCAGTTTAGATAGAACAAAAAAAATTTTGACTGCTTCTATCAGCAAGGATAATACCTGTATGCGCCATTAATTTGCGGAAGAAACGTATTTCATTCCCATATTCGAACACGAACCGCCGAATTGATCATTCGATCTACGCCTACGAACCAGGCCGACTGTTGGTTGCCCTCAAATTGAAATTTCAATATTAATCAGCTGCGGTGACCGATAAGCCGAATGATATGGTCGTTTCAGGATTATTAATAGCGTGGTTATGCCATAACGGCGCGATGGTAATTGAAGATTCAATTCGAAAATATGAAATGTTATTTTACGAAAAAAATATTTCGTTAGTTTCCCGTTCGAATTCACGATCTCTGATTTGTACGAAACTCGAGGCACAAACACAAACGAAAATTTAAAAATTTTTTAAATTTATACACAAAATTTTTTATCGACTGATATTCATATTCAACTTGGTGCACAGATGGAGACATCGAGCAGTAAAAAATCAGATTCATATACTAATTCTTTTACTAACCGATATTTGTGTTTGAGGGATGTAAACTACCATTCTATAAATTTATTCTTTTTGGGGGGCTGAGACTCGCTTCGTTAAAATTTGCTCCGTCAGTTTAATCGAGGATACGCCTTACGCAGTCGATACTCCACCCGAGCGTTTCCAATGGTCGATCTATCGCTAGCTCGCTATAGGCCATCCTCAGCTTGGAATTTCAGTCCTGATCAATTACCACGGACCGTTACCTAATTGCCAATCCCTGAGAGTGGCTTCTAGTCTACTAACGTAACATTTCCTTTGAGGAAGGAGTGTTTGTCTCGCAGCGCGGAGGAATCGAACAACAGAGGTATCCTTTGTCGAATTTTATTTTATTTTTACCGAGAAATCGATTTCAAATCCTTTCCTCCGCTGACCTTTGTCTCAGCCTTCGGAGCAAATCGGCTTTGTCGTAAAATTAATTCCGCGTCGTTCATTGAAGGATGGATTAATAGGAATTTAAATTATACTACGAATAGAATCGAGTCCTTTTCCTGGACAAAATCGGAGCGTTAAACCATCGAGTACCAAACCTATTTTTATTAGCGTTGAGATTTAAAACTGGTCCATTTTATCTTCTTGCAAAATATATTTATACCCGACGATTTAAATTTACTTTCGCGAAGAACTCTCCGCAAAACCGTTTCCCTCGATCCATTGTATAATGCCATAAATCATTCGCGATGTTTCTTATTCGACTTGATGTATTACTGTGGAATAATGTAATTAAATCGAAAACATGTAAAATTGCATAAGACACGGAAAATGGTTTACGTAAGGAATGTTGTAACTCCTTAGAAGAAATCAGTAACGTTGGTTGTAGTGACAAGCTATTTATTATTCTTAATAACTCGAATTATTATAGTCGTTATAGTTTATAGTTTTAAAGAAACTTTCGAGAATAAAGAACGAAATGTCTAACGTTAAATTAGAAAAGTGAAAATACTTAAAATGCATGGTCACAATATAAATTCGAAACTGATATATCGAATACTGTGAATAATAACTAAAACACGACAAACATTTGCTCGTTGCCTTACAAACCAAATCGAAGTCTTAATTGTTCTCAAGTTAATAATGTTTATTCGTAATAGCTTCGAAAGGGAGTCGAGAAAACAGAACTTTTTCAGCGCCGTTCTTGTCCGACGTTCGGATATTTGAGGAACATTTGACCCGGATATCTCTATCAGACAAACTTCTGGCTACCCTCCGGAATGAATAAATTCCGCGGCCGTGTCTCGAGAATCGGTGAATCTTGTTAAGCTGTTTAATTACAACTAATGAAATTCGGCCTGTATGAAGACCCGGGAGCGTTTCACTCGTCGGAAAATGTACCAAGAGTGGTCATTCAATTATCCTTACACGAGAGCATTCCATTCAACGTGCAAACTTTTTATCCGGTACGGTAATTACGCGCGTTTCGTAACGTTCGCGTTATTTATATCGGCCACAATCGTTATGCCATCCAAATAATTGAATATTTATATTCGAACGGTTTTCAACCACTTAACTAGCGACGAGGAACAGAATTTCCACTGTGGGATCGTGATCGTGTCTCGTGTAAATTGCACAATTCTTTTTACATTTGGAACTTTGAAATAAACGGATCACAAAAATTATTTGGAAATCTTGGTCTCTAACTCTTTGAAATTATTGTTAAAACTTTCAGGGATAGATTTTACTAGTCAAAATAATAGAAAAATAAAAATTGATCGTACGATAAAATAATGTTTAACGAGAGAGATTGAGATTTCTAGAGCAAAGACGAAGGGCCCCAAGGAATTAACGATGAACATTTGATCCATAGGGTTGGTTCTTAAGCGGAACGTTTCTGTTTCTGAATTTCTCGGTGATAAATGACAGCAATTTTCAAGTAAATTAAACAAAGTTTGTTCCGAGTTTCTCCATCCAGTTTCGCAACCTGTTCGGATTGATTCGGCGGCACGTAATTAGAATGTGTAAAATTATCACGCACTTCGGAAACAGAATGCAGAAATCGT